TTCCAATTTCAACCATTGGCATTTTCCTCTAGACAATCTTAAATAACCCTTTTGACCCTCACTAAATCGTAAAACGTGCTAAATGAAACGGGAACAAATTTTCTAGACACTCAAAAATGGCAGTAATTCTAGAACAACCAGACGAAATAAAATGGATGTTTTACGTATAATAGGTCACAGTTGGTACGCATCCCGATCAGACTATTGCTACCTGTGCCGGTCTCGTTCATCTTGGAGAGAGAAGTCAACTGCGCGAGCTATTTAACACCTTAAAACAACCACGGAAACATTTGAATTGCCGATCGGGTGTGAGAGGAATTAAACGGAGCAGTGTTTAGACTCGAGACATAAATTTCTACAGCAGAATTTGTGTATCTGTCGCGTAAAGAAATTTCAACTTACTGCAACACGAATTTAGAGGCCTGTATCTTAGCTGTTAAAACGTTTTCCAGATTAATTCGAGATATATATATATATAGATACATAACATAGATATATATGAATATCCCTGACCTTTTTACACTGACAAGTTGACAAAATATTGACAAAACGTCGACCGAAGGTTATGAATGACTTCTGAGATCCTTAGAGACATACGCTTAGTTTATTTTTGTTTTGTTTAAGAAGTTCCTGAGGATTACAGAATTGAAATTGTTTTCCATCGATTGTAATTTGAACTCGAAGGTTCGCTTTTGTGCTTTATCTATTATCTGCTATACACACTTCACCAAGGACGAATGGGAGTCAAATCGTGTTTTCTTTTACTGCTAGTATCGGTCCAACCGATAAGCTTTTTCAAAAAGTCATCAGAAGGGAGGATTTTTTTTAAATCTCAATTAAACATAATATGGTATATGAACATTATATAAACATTTCTAATGTTCCACGTTGTGGTTTCGAAACCAATTAAGATTTGGTTATTTTGTTGTAGTTTTTGAAGAGTCGCTTTCAATATTTAGATTAAAATTGCTGAAACAATCAGATCACCAATAAGACATTTTAACACATATTCTATTCCTTTCGAAATGAAATATCAAATATTCATACACTGAAATTAGTTCCCTTGTGAAGATAATCATAATAGCACGAACACAATCAGAAAACGATGGAATTTTGAACAGATCTTATTTCACCGTATTCAAATGTTTGGAATATCCGAAAGCGTCTTCGTGAATTAAACAACGACATTTTTAGAGACTTTTCAAATCAACAGTCAACAACAACAGAGAGTTACATCTCGATTGTCCTACGCTAGCTAAAAATCCCTCATATAAAGAAATACACAATATTTAGCACCATGGAATGTCAAATAATGAAGCATTTGTTACTGAAATGACAATCTGGGGAAAACTACTAATAGGGGAAGCATTACAGGGTTAATTAAGTGTGCTACGTTAATCAATAATTAAGAGAGAGATATTTTAAGTCAAAACACTGGTTCCAATGCTGATGCCAATCGGCGTTGTAGGAAATTCGTTATGTAGTGTTACATTATGAACATATAGCATACGTTAATCAGTGTTATATTTCTATTGGGTATAAGACGGCGATAAATGAACGTTTAAAACACAGTCTTATTCAGACTGACATATTTGTGTGTCAGTGGAATTTCTATTGCCGGAAAAGATGAAAGGTATACATCGAGAAGTCGTTATCTGAATGCGTTTTACGTTCTTGTCTCTTAAACCAATGTGCATACGATATGCATTTATGGGAAAAACACGTTATGCAATACAATGCCACGGAAAAAAACCTTCCTCTTGTGATTTATCAAGCAGTAATGCATTGTACTGGAAGACGAATTTATTGTACCTTGGATATATTAAATAAAATATCCATGTCATTAGAGTCGGAGGTAAAAGAAATTCTGCACATCAATCTATATTAAAGGAAGACTTCTTCATACGAAAATCGAAATACGAGGACCACTGCAATACATATGAAAATGAAATGTTATATTTAATTACAATACTGTGCTGGTATAATACTGCTCATTACATAATGCTGTCGACTTCTTAAATAAATTAACTTTGATTTGTTGGCACAATACTATGTAATACATGAATAAATCATCATCAAAAAACATTGTTAAATAATACTGTTTATAATGCAATGTATAAACTACAGTTGTCATTGCACTATTCTACTAACCAATCGTCAATACGAATATGAAATAAAAAGTATAAAACTTGTATACGTATAAATTGAAAAAGAAAAAAGAAAAGAAAAAAACAGAAAAATGAATTCATATCCACATAACATCCAGACATGTGCGACGTGCTTGTGCATATGTCAGATTGCAGTAAATAAACTTGTTTTACAAGTACAGTGAATTATACATATCTCGACCATAAGCAAATAACACAGTGTTCGTTAAAATAATAGGAATCGTTAATCTAAATATACTAAAATGTAAGGAGAGTGCGTTTTGCAAAATTATTATTTATTCTATGACAGATAACGAGGTCTAATATTTGTTGTTTTACTTTATCTCGTGTCTGTACGATGATATTCCACACCTGTTGCCGTTACTTGAGCTAGTGTGTGTATAATGGTGTTCTGCATTTGTTATTGTTAGGTAATCTAGTGTGTGAATGATGACATTCTGCATTTGTTATTGTTAGGTAATCTAGTGTGAATGACGACATTCTGCATTTGTTATTGTTAGGTAATCTAGTGTGTGTATGATGGTAATCTGCATTTGTTATTGTTAGGTAATCTAGTGAGTGTATGATGGTGTTCTGTATTTGTTATTGTGTTACGTTAGCTAGAGGGTGCACATTGTATGATGGTTTCTGCATTTGTTATCGTTAGGTAATCTAGTGTGTATGATGGCAATCTGTATTTGTTATTTTTACGTTAGCTAGTGTGTGTATGATGGCAATCTGTATTTGTTATTGTTACGTTAGCTAGTGTGTGAATGATGGTGTTCTGTATTTGTTATTGTTAGGTAATCTAGTGTGTATGATGGTAATCTGTATTTGTTATTTTTACGTTAGCTAGTGTGTGTATGATGGCAATCTGTATTTGTTATTGTTACGTTAGCTAGTGTGTGTATGATGGTGTTCTGTATTTGTTATTGTTAGGTAAGCTAGTGAGTGTATGATGGCAATCTGTATTTGTTATTGTTACGTTGACTAATGTGTGTACATTATATGATGGTGTTCTGCATTTGTTATTGTTAGGTAATCTAGTGAGTGTATGATGGCAATCTGTATTTGTTATTGTTAGGTAAGCTAGTGAGTGTATGATGGTGTCCTGCATTTGTTATTGTTAGGTAAGCTAGTGAGTGTATGATGGCAATCTGTATTTGTTATTGTTACGTTGACTAGTGTGTGTACATTATATGATGGTGTTCTGCATTTGTTATTGTTAGGTAAGCTAGTGTGTGTATGATGGTAATCTGAATTTGTTATTGTTACGTTAGCTAGTGTGTGTATGATGGTGTTCTGCATCTTTTATTGATAGGTGATCTAGTGTGTTTATGATGACATCCTGCATTTGTTATTGTTAGGTAAGCTAGTATGTAAATGCTGACATCCTGCACATGCTATTGTTAAGTAATCTAGTGTGTGTATGATGGTAATCTGCATTTGTTATTGTTAGGTAATCTAGTGTGTATGAGGGTAATCTGCATTTGTTATTGTTAGGTAAACTAGTGTGTGAATGATGGTGTCCTGCATTTTTTATTGTTAGGTAAGCTAGTGTGTGAATGATGGTGTCCTGCATTTTTTATTGTTAGGTAAGCTAGTGTGTGAATTATGGTGTTCTGCATTTGTTATTGTTAGGTAATCTAGTGTGTATGATGGTAATCTGCATTTGTTATTGTTAGGTAATCTAGTTTGTGAATGATGGTGTCCTGCATTTGCTATTGTTAGGTAATCTAGTGTGTGAATGATGGTGTTCTGCATTTGTTATTGTTAGGTAATCTAGTTTGTGAATGATGGTGTCCTGCATTTGCTATTGTTAGGTAATCTAGTGTGTGAATGATGGCGTCCTGCATTTGTTAGTGTTAGGTAATCTAGTGTGTATGATGGTAATCTGCATTTGTTATTGTTAGGTAATCTAGTGTGTGAATGATGGTGTCCTGCATTTGTTATTGTTAGGTAATCTAGTGTGTATGATGGTGTTCTGTATTTTTTGTTGTTACGTTAGCTAGTGAGTGTATGATGACATTCTGCATTTGTAAGGTAACTTCAGCTGTTGTGTGAATGATGAAGTTCCAGATCTAATGTCGGAACTTTTCCAGAGGTTTTTTTTAAAGAGTTCTCCGTTTATTTCAATACCTATCTAAACAGTGTTTAATAGGAGTCTACATTTTGTCTGTATCTATCGAAAGCGTTAGTGAATGAGGTATGATTAGGATAAACAATTGCTGTTGCTGCATCAGATAATTTGTCGTTACTTAAGCTTATTTCTCTTTTGGATGGATCCCACATTTGTTGTCCTTACTTTGGCAAATATGTGTATAACAGGGTTTAACAAAATTGCTATCGCGACTCTATCCAGTGTGCGTAATACGTAGACAATGTGATGTAGGGTTTCACGTAAAGACTATGAAAATGGAAGACGATATTCGGACATTTTAAGTCATAAGCGAAATCGATGTGAGACTGGCATAAACACAAGAAGCGAGTTTAACATATTATTTTTTAAAATCAAATATCACTCAGTCCGGTCATATGTGTTATTTGCTCGGCTCTCGAAAACGTCTCTTTCTTGGCCAAGGTCGAGTTAGCACGCGATCATGTGTTCGACTCTTATAGGAGGAATCACAAAGACGGATTTTTTTTTATAATCATCATCAAAACCAAAGCTGAAAAAAATAACAAAACAAACACTAAAAAATATTTGTCCTTTCGTATAAATCAAGATGTAATATCGAACGATTTTTTCGGTAAGAAGATGAAAGAGGTTTGAATTTAATGTTAAAAATCGAAAAATATAATTGGTGATGTATTAGTTCTGTATTTGTATTCACAAAACTATGTGGATTGCAATACAATTCGATTACCTTATCATGCTCCGTTCGTTCTATGAAGGGGAATGTATTTGAAATATACACACATACATGCCATAACTTCTACTCCTAAATTCTCAGGATAGAAAAGTTTGGAAATATGAATTTTATAATGAATTAGGATTATGAAATGTCCACTTTCATCATCTAATCTAAACCTCGATGGTCGCACACAAGGGATCAAACAAACACGTTTTTAAATTAAAAAAAAAAAAGAAAAATCATGACAACACCACAATACTGTGATAAGTCCAATGGGTCTATAGTCCTACGCTCGGGATGTCCAAACCAGGGACACATTCAAGGGACACGTGTTCACCACCAACAGTGTTAATGTTCCCTAAAGTCAGGAGTTATTTCCCTCATGTTCCCTCACTTTTTCTTAATCTCAATGCATTCCTCACTGTTTTAGATATGCCAGGAGTCAAACATCCGGGTTCTAAATTGATGGAATCCATTTGATTTTAAAATCGTCCACCAATAAAATCTCATGATGTCCATCCATGATCGGTCTGAATCAACGTACAACATTGACTCAAAATATTCCACCTGCCAACGACACACTTTTGTCTAAAGATGGCGATGTTTGGTAATCAGCGCCGCGATTTGTCAGCACATTGGAGTAAGGTCCCGGGAGGGAAGGATTGTTCGCCATTCCTGGTGTACCTTTCCCCACCGTTATTCCACTTGTCCATTTTGAGGTCTCGTTTTGACTTTTGTCTGAAGTAAAGATTGTACAAATTTAATGTAAATTTTATCCTCCTATAATATCATTTGTCTATTTTGATAATATCGATTTCACTTATATTTTAGATATTGCTGAATTCGATCATGTTTTTTCTCCTTTAGAGATGATAGTAAGACCCACACGGTATCGTATATACAGTATGCCAAAAAGGAATTACACTGCACCATATATCTGTTTCGTTCTTCTAGGACAAATCTAAACTAGGTGTCAAAAAAGTAGAAATCTCAAAAAGGTCTAAACTACCGTTGAAATGTGTAAAATGACATTTTTTAAATCTGGAACAATTCCGCTAGGAAATGTATAATCTTTAAGGTACAGTCAGTATGAATTATGTCCCTTACTTGAGCTCTCCTCGGATTGTTTCTGCTTGTCTTTGGAGGTGTTGGAAGAGGTATTGTTGTTGTTGTTAGTTGTACTGGAGTTGTTGTTGTTGCTGCTTGTGTTACCCGGTTCTTGTTTTACAGTTGTTGGCTGTTGCTGTTGTTGTTGCTGCTGCTGCTTTGCCCTTTCAACTTTTCTGAACTTGGCTCTTCGGTTTTGGAACCATACCTACAGAGAAATGAAATTCGGGTTGCTTATCAAAAACAAAATAATACAAATCTCCAATAAAATGGTTTCATCAATATATATCAGTTTCTTACGAATCAATCGTCTTACAACCTGATGGCCCAGGACATAAAAAACCGGACAGTTTGGATTATCATGGTTATTTTTAACACCGTAGTAAAGCCATTGGATAACATGGAGAGGAATTTTTATTAATTTTGATTGTGTTCATGAAAAATCACGTTGAACAATTACCTTTTAGGATATATACTTTTATTTACACAAGGTTTTAAAAGTTTCTCCTACTATATTCAAGCAACGAGGAGCCTTCAAAAACTTGCATTAGAAAATCCATGTATGTTAAACCTTATAATGGAACACCCATGACAAGGAGAAACGAAATAGGTCCTTAAAGGTCATGCGGAATATCAAACACATGAACACGTTATTTCATCATTGAGAAAAACTATACAAAGGCAGTTAATATTACACCAATAACTATATGAGAGTCTCTTTTATTTATTTATTTATTTAGTGATATGTATATTTGTTTATTTATTCGTATTTTCTAAGAGTCTGTGATGTTATACCAAAATAATATACCAATAAATTCAGACTACATTTGACACATAGTTGTGTTTCATTAAATTATGTTGTTTATTTTCTAAACCAAATTCTTCTTTTCTTGTGATAAACGTCAATACAACGCGAAATATAGAAATGTCGCTAACATGCGTTGTGTTATAGATATGCAGGAAATGTTGTGTTATATTTATAAATGTAAAACTAAAGATTTACTTTTTTTCTGATTCAATATTACAAATGCGGCTATGATCTATTACGAGAAGGACGATGCATTTTTGGGACTTTTTCTTGAGGCAAACGTCAACCAATTAGCCAGCAACACAGTGAGCTGAAGCTCCGTCCGATGACTTATATCTGAAGGCTTCCTTCCTCGGATATTTCATATTTTATTCTTTCAAAAAGGAATTCGATATAGACATGATGTTACATGTTCGGTATAAATGCTTTGGTAAAAGATGATATTTACATTTCATAAGCAGTAATATTGATTGATTACCAACGTTCTTATCGGATATCATGAATAAACAAGTACAACTTGAGTTGATTTGAATTGCTATAATTATTAAATTGTTTTCATATTAAACATTTGAAGGTACATATTTATAGATTATCGTCAAACTAACGATACTGTATAATGATCACTTAAACAAAATTAGAACAATTATCAAAAATTATTTTTAGAATTGTAAACAGACAGAAACATGTTTTAAACGCAATTTCTAAATTTAAAATTGTGGCATGGATTATCAGGTGAAATAAAAGACAAATTAAAATAAACTGTAATCTTGTTTTCACAAAAAATACGATGTTTTTAAAATACTACATAAGACAGGTAGATGTTAGAAACACATCAGACTTTAAAGATGTGATGTCTACATTGATGTAAACTCTTAATTATGTGGGGAGGTAATTAAATTCAAAGGACCCAGATTTCGAAAGATAATTGTCGGCGAGATCAAAGGGATATAAAGCGAAGTCATCATTAACCTATCTTTTACCTGATTTATCGATTGCTCAGGTGATCTTGGGTAGACAAGGATCTAGTTATACTTCGTCTGCTTGAACATATCAATAGAAGTTCACAAGATTTAAACTATATAAATATTCTAAGGCAATTGAGCGGTTGTTGCATATCCGTTCTGGGAAAGGATCCTCGACAATGGATTGCCAGTTATTTACAGGAGGTAAGGTGTAAGCGTTAGGTCTATAACTGGTAATTCTAACAGTTATTCGTAATGATGTAGATAACAGTGTAAAGCTATTGAAGCAATAGCGATTTCAGGCAATCTTGTGCAAAAAATACAATATATATGTAATGTTTACATAAAAGATTGACTCTTGGATCGGCCATGCGTATTTCCAGTTATCAGGTCTCAGCCAGTTATTTTTGTTAAATCTTCTATCTTTCTCTCGATTTTATTAGGAAACTTGTCGTAATTTTATGTATCATCCCTAGTAAATGTATAGATAATTGCTGAGCCGATTGACTCCATGGAAATTGGCCAGACATTGAAATCTATTCAGATACGCCAAATTTCCTGTGTTCCTATTTAATTTATTTTAGTGAAATTCAAATCTAAATTTAAATTATTAGAAATTAGCGAAGGAGAAAACTCACTCGATCCGCTGACGCTTATTTCTTGAACGGCTTTATAGATGTAAAGACATCCTTTAGTCAATACATTAAATGTTTAAGACGTGCTGTAGACCCAAGCTCAATATTAGATTGATGTCAATAGGAATTACTTGATATACTTTATTTTAAATGTAATTTTATCAAATGAATTTGTCTTAAAATAAACAATTTTTAAAATTTTGATAATTGTGTCTGAAGAAATCCATTTACTCTTTGGATTTGTTTTGAATGAATGATAAGTATTAAAATGGTATTTTGGTCTGTAATACTACAAGATGTTTTCATTACCGAAGTTGTAAATGTTGATTAAGGTCTTTAATTTAAGATACGACAGTACATATTGTTTATCGGAGCAACCTGGAACTGTTGGATTTGTATTAATGTTTTAATAATTATGTATTGCTATATATTAAGCAGACTTTGGGGTAAGCTGACAACATAATATACAATTTTGATATGTTTCATGATATGTAATTTGAACGTTACAAGAAACACATAATAATGACATCACCTGCAGGGACAAATTGGTGGTATCTTTCAATGATATTCCCTGTAGAGCGTAGGCGTATTCAAATACTTTGCTTTAGTGTATGAGAAAAGAAGAATCTTAAACTCTGTCTACTTTTTATGAAACTCTTTGATACTTGCTAAGATCATATGATTTTGGAACCCAATTGATATCCTCTATTTGTAAAGAGTTCATATACATTTTGTTCGAAATTAAATCTTTCTTAATAAATATTTAAGGAATTTTTCATTGATTTATCCTCTCTCTTTACATTTGAAATAATTGTTTTATAAAAAATATAACATAAAACAGTGCTATCAAAATAATACATATTCGCTATTTTTATATTAAATACACCTAGGCACACCTTCGTGTTTTCATTTTCTTATCTCTAACCTTTTTCAGTTTTATCTATATATGGACAATGGGTTTTTTTGTTTTGTTTTAATAAGATCACAGGGTATGTAATGCTGTCAGAGAATAATTATACATCATACTAATAACTAAAGATGAATATCGCACAATCATAGACTATGTGTGAATATCTAACCAAGCTTGTAAAATATAAAGAATGATGTTATGTTAAAACTGAATTAATATTTGACAAACAGGGGAGGGAATAATAAAACAAAACAAAAATCATTAAAATTCAAATAAATACGTTGCATGGTATATACCTGTACTCGGGCTTCAGTTAGATCTGTTTTCATTGCTATTTCCTCGCGAGTATAAATATCCGGATAGTGTGTCTCTGCGAAGGCTCTTTCTAGCTCTTTAAGTTGTGCGCTGGTGAATGTTGTTCGTATCCGTCGTTGCTTTCTTTTTTCTGGACTTAAACCATTTTCATGGTGGCCGTGTTGGTACATCTTATATGACAGACCTGAAAGATCAAACAAATTGGGGTTAATTAACTTGCATACACTTAAGAGTTTTCAGTACATGTTTAGTTAAAGTTCATTTACTTTACTTTTCTAAGCCATTAAGACAGTATGCTTAAATTTGAAATGTATTAAACAAACTACCTATATTTCTAACCATTTAAAGTTAGCATTAAAACTACAGAATTCAACTTTAAATCTATTTAGGGGTTGTTTTCATATGACTATCTAAAGAAGATAATGTATTGTGTGCTAATTGCAAAAGTTTTCATAAATGATAGTGTTTAACATTTTTTTTAATGTAAACATACGTTAATGGGATTTTTTTAACATATTTTGAATGATTATTTTAAAAATGTAGTTTCGATGAAGATGGAGACAGGTAATGACCTTTAGTTTTTTCAAATATTATAATTAAACTAAGCTACTTTATTTTCATTTTTGAATTAATTTTTTAAGCAGATATTTTTAGAATTTCGAAAGTATGATTTTCCCAAAAAAAACTATACCAACTGTTAACAAAAACATTTTCGAAAATGCGTTGGTTACCTCCCTTGCAATGTCTATATGGACAGAGAATTAAAAAAAAATGTCGATTATTGCTCGAGTTATCCAAAACTATACATTATCAGAGTTATTTTGTAAAGATCTTCTCTTTTTTTGTAATAAGAGGTCGTGCATAATTGTTTTCTGTATATTTTAATTACGTGTTGTTCTGTGACGTCATGTAAACTGTTGTGAAATCAGCACCAGCGCGCGTATTGAACTTAGGTAAAACAAACCTATTAACAACTCGACAAAATTAAATTAAGACTTTTTTTCTGGAAATGTATTTGCCCTTTTACTTGCAAAAGTCTACCACTGTTTTTGTTTTGTTTCAAGTACAAACCTCTATACATACAAAGATTAAATAAAGTGTATGTATATTTGCCAATTTCGCGGGAACCCCGAGACCCTTAATTGCAGTTCACTGGGAAGTATTTATTGCCATCATCTATAACGTAAACCCAGCTAAATACTTTTTTGGAGTTTTAATCTTTGTTCCTGTTCTAGGATATAAACAAGAAAAATAGTAATGTTGTTTTAATTTTGTTATAAAAAGATTTGTTTTAAATGTATATCTACAAAACACGACCGCCGAACATGATAGAGAGGTTTAAATTGATTAGTCGTTGTTTTACCTATATGAGTTTTTTTAATTGTACAAATAATCGAAAAGTCGTGATCTTTATTTATACTTCCTGATTTCTATCTTCTGTAGACGCCGGCTATATAATGAAATTTTTGCTTCGACAAACAATGCTTCAACACAGATTTGGTTCCTCAGAAATCCATACATCACAAGCGCCAATAAGACCATGATGAAGCTTGCCAAACAATACTACGATCATGATGAAGCTTACAAAAGATATGTTTTTGAAACAAAATTACACAAATATAAAAAATCAATAATACGCTTTTAACAAGTGATCTTTATTCGACTCCCACACTGTAATGGCGGTCTGTTCTGAGTCATCCCAGTTTTCAGTCTTTTGTCTACGCTTAGAAATTGGTCTGTTAGTCCTACATAAAGACATATTAATTATTTATCTACCGTACTTTACATAGCCTTATCATGGCATGCTGCTCAGTGCGTGGCAGACAACATACTGCGCCTTCAAGCCCGTCATACACGGCCATTCTATGTCCGAATAAACACACCAGACGAAGTCATAAAAACACCAGCTCTGGGGATGCTCCTTCAAAGCATGGCTGAGTTCTGCTAAGGCTTAGCGCATAAAGCACAACTATGGTGGCATGGGAACTGTGGTTCCATCGATGACTTTTTCTAGCCTTTCTATAGTATGTACAAAACAAACTGTTTGAAAATATTCGGTTAAAATCACAATTGCAAAAATAAGTATTTTATAGGTTTCGTGGTTTTTTTTAAAACAAATTGTAGTTTATTTGAAGGAGGATTCAAAATATACTACATGCCTTCAAATGTATATCGTCTGTGTGGCCATTCAGTGGCCGAGTAGCATAACAGACAGCGCCATAAAGCCGTCAGCAACGGGACCATTAGTTCTAGACGGGAGTAGTCAGAGTCATGCGGAATATTGGTATAAAGGGACTGTCGACCAAATTGTACTTAAATGGTTTCTGGAAACCTTGTGTTGAAAACCATTTCATTTAGTCAGTCTATAGTCGAAATCAGTATAAACAAAGGACACGACAGTTCTGTGTGAAACGCTATGTTTCTGACTTATTGTGGTTTGATATGGCTCTACATCAAATCTTGTTGAAGTCAATATTCTCTTCTGGTCTTTATTAATAATGGGCAGACAATGTGCTGAAAGTTATTATAAGAAAACCAACTATAGTCTATCAATCAGGCACCGTTTAATCATACAGAAAATGTTATTTAGTCAAACTGCACGCAAGTCTATTTACTATATATAATAATAATAGACAATAGATGCCGCTTTATCACACCAAGTTCGTAGGTCGTCTCAAAGCGGTTCACAAATTAGTATCCGTGGTTATAGGGCCTTTGCAACCAGCCAATACCTTTCTCAACCCCCTGGGGAGCATACAGCCAGTGCTACTGCCATTTCGGCGCTCACAGTTAGCATTCAACAATTCTAGCACTGCCCAACAACGTACTCATTTACAGCTGAGTAGACTGGAACAAGCAGAGTAAAGTATCTAGTTCAAAGATACAACACAGTTGCGTGACATGACTCGAACTCGCAACCATTCGGTCACAAGCCCGGCGTCCTACCACTAGACTACCGTACCTCCAATATATATGTATATATACATGTACATGTATATATGTAACAATGGGTGGTTTTGTCTGCTGTATTTATCTCTGACGTACATGTCTTTACGATGAGACAGTCCAAGTACTTCACAGTCGACTGTTACTAGAACCTTTGGTCTGAAAGAGACTCTTATCATGGCCGACAACTTCAGCAGAGGCAGCTTGCCAGAGATACGACCCATCGCCTGTCCACTTCCCAGCCTTATCTGCCAAGAGTCTTCTCCTGAATTCCTATCGCTTCTTTGTGCCCAGTGTTTGATAAGACTCAAGTCTGGTACAATTGTCGTCTTGATTATACAGCAGATATAACCCACATTTCCCTAAACGATTTTGACCTCAAATACATTGAATGCATCATTTCTAACTTTCAACGTTCAGTTTTGGGGAGTTTTATATTTCAGTTACGCACTGATGGCTTTATTTACCATTATATGAGATTTAATTATTAATTTATTTTATCAAGCATCACAAACAAGGAGTAGAACTGTTTAACCTAAATTATTTCAAATTATTAAATAGTTGGATCATCAAAATTGATTACGTACCGTTTTTTGTTTTTGTTTTCTATTAATTTCCCTATTTAATGGTTTACATAACGGAACGTGATACCGAAAACAGAAAACCTGAGATTTAGGATGATTCATGGTATCTTCCCTACTGGAAAGATATATCCACATTTCTGGTCAAGCAATTTTTGTTCTGTCTTACCCCAAGTGGATGACCAGCATAAAACTTTAGTGAACGTGTGCTTAATCAAAGTTGGTACACTGTAACAAATGTTCATCGCTTGGAAGCTTACAGTCAAAGTTCAGTGTAATCAATGACATATAGGGTTGTATTCTTAGCAGCAAAATGCATTTCCATACACGATTGATTTTACAGAATTACCATTGTGTAATCACAAACACTACCATAAAAAAATGTGATTTGCATTACACACGTGTGATGGCTTTAGTTTATTTAGATTTTGCGTGGAAAATGGAGGAGAAAAGCACCATTCCCTACTGTGAGGAAAGAACTATGACTATACCTCGTCTATGGGTTAGGATTAGAGGGTGGGGTTGTTTGTTCTATCCTAAAGCCAGGTAAAGATTTTTCAACAATTCGTTACAAGTCAAAACAACTCCTACACAATAATAGTTTTTATAGACACAGTCCCACACTTTGACCCGATCAAAGGAAAACAAAACGGAAACTACATACCAAACAAACCTGCTAAAGAATGGTGAATGGCTGGGCTTTTTATTTGTAACTTACATTGGAGCATGGATTTATGGACTATTTTATGGTATTTTTTTATGAGCTGGCTTCAAGCTAGTGTGTGTGAATTTCGACACAGCGAACACATTGAGTCGTACGTCTGAACGAAGCCACTATCACGTCCCAATACCCTACGTGTGTGTGACGCTCAGATCGAAATAAGGTGTGAACGCCGTTCATACCCAAATGGACGAGACCAACAATAGCTAACTAAATAATTAATAAGTAATGGTGATATTCTCCCATCTCGGTTGCAATGAACGGATAAATCTTTTTATATGACTTTATGTATATGTACACGGCGATACCATAGATCATTGTCCACACGGAGCTGTAATGGATGCTGACGGGTCAGTCTATGTATCATCTCTGTCCAATTCATGTGATACGGAATCAATGACTACAGAAGGTCGGATAATAGATAGAAGTGTCCGGTCCTGATAACAGGCAGGCATTTTATTAATTTTTTTTTAATTATTATTTCCCCAGTTTACATTATATGTTTACTGTTTGCTTTCTTATTGTTTGTTTTCTTCTTTGAATATCATTTAAACTAATATATGAAGATAAAAAAACAATTCTTATTTTTTTTATCCTTATGGGTATTTTTTNGCAATTTATTTCAAAATGCGACAAGTTAATGACACGTTTTTAGATTGGTTTAAAACTCTTAAATACGAAACTAATATAATTAGATATACATCATTTTCTTTTAATCTAAATAATAATTCATTTTTTTCAATTTTGTTATTAATTATAACATCATACAGGTATTTGTGTCTTATGGCTTTCTAAATATTTTCTGTAAAATTTTGCTATTTGTCTCCGAAAAATTATGAGTTTGTTTGTCTGTTGGTATGGGGGTTAAACGGCCTTATACAACAACTGCGATCATTTGAAGACGTAAGAAAATTAAAAGAAATTGTGTAATTAATA